TTATATTCCGAGTCCAACAAGTGACCTGTTTGTTTTTTAAAATTTAAGTTCTCTTCTAATCTTACTCGTATTTCCACTCAGTAATGTAGGCAAAAAGGATTGGGGACTAGACGCTACGTTTCACCTCACAGTTTTGAATGAATGAATGAGTAAATATTTACGTCGTATTGTTCAACTACTCGAAGACTTTTGGTGACAGACCTCGTAATTTTGAACTATGGTCAAGTGACGAGGACAACACCTGAGCTGGCACCTCCTCTCCTTCCACACCAACGGGAGGACGTTTGAGCTCTCGACAGATTTAACGTGCATCTCTTCCCCTACACGGTGGGTCTTCAGCGGTATACTAGGCTCAAACACATTACACTCCGGCCATGAGTCCGTTACGTTGACCACTAGGCTAAAGCGGCTACACCTCTCAGTCTGAGCCCGAAGCCTAAGAATTTATTTTATTAATGTGACTGTTACACTTTGTCATGTATCGTCTTGCTATTTTGTTACTTCTTTTTAAGCATTAAGTTAGAATTATTGCAATTTAGCGCCGTATTTATTATTTAATATTTACGTGATACAACAGTAGAAATCGCATAATAAATCCCTCCAGGTCTCCACTCCTGCTGTGCTGATATGCTACTATCAGTGTCTAAAACTACAGGCACGTAACGTTAAATATTAACCGCTCAACACTGGCGTAGCTTGTTCTGAGTGGGCTCTGTATTAGAATTCCTTCGGGCCCTTTTTTAGACATAAGAATCTTGTTGATAGGACTGTAGTTGCACAGTTTGGGGGCCCCGTATGATACGGCTGTAGCTACCTTCTTGCCGCACAATCAACCTCTCGAACGTAGGCAACTTAAGGCGACTTGGAACTCTTTAACAAATCTTTTTTATTTATGCATTTAAAAATTATATTTTAGTATTTCATATAATTTTTCTGTTCAATAAAGCAATATGAAGTATAATTTTGCACACATATTATTCACACAATTTTAAAAATTTAAATTTTCTTAAAAAGATTTGGAAAATTTTAAAATTTTACTCCTTCTGTATTTATTAATACTTTGACATGAAATATTTTTGTTACATTCTTAAGGATGTTTTAAGCAACTTAAGCATCGATTTTACAATAACTTAATTAGTTTTGGAGAAAAAAAAATAAAATGTTCATAGATATGCTAAAATTCAACAAAAAACCCAACATCTCCTACATTTTAATTTTTTTAAAAAAAAGGTATTCAGTGAATAATAAAATGGATCCCTAATTTTGTTACATGTATAATATATAACACACAAAGAAAAAATAAAAGTGATTGGTCAATAATTGTGGAAGGAGTAGCATTTAGAATGTACTAATGTATCGAAAAAACACAAGATGAGAAAAACCATTCTATAGTTTATACTTCTGAAAAAATAATTATTTAAGCTTAAATAAATTTAAAATACCATTTTAAAACATTGGCTATACATTTTTCTTCAAACTAATTGCATTTTCGTATTACTTTAACCCATGTTTTCTATAAATGATACATTTTTACACAGTAATAATTGTACATAAATATCAAGAAAACTCGAAGAAAATATTTTTTTTTTCTGTTGTAACAGAAATTTCAAAATCATTTGTTTCACATAATATTTAAATGATATATTTGTATGAAAAACATGCAGTAAACAAGAACTGAAACTATGAAATTATTAATATAAAATGCCTAAATTAAAAATATTTACATGCAAACATTTAAGAAAAAAATTACATTATTGTAATACCTTAGAAATATCCTGATTCATATGTAACTCCTTCCCTTTTTTAATTAATATCTCTCTTTTTAACACTTCACCAGCTGAAGTAGTAACTCAGTTTCAACACACAAGCGATCTCTATGTATAATATCTCTCCGTGAGCTTTTCTTCTACTGCTTTCTAGAACATTCCGCTTACCCCACAGGTCATAACGCTATAGACATCACCAATAATTTCTAGAGCAATTTACATGATAGTCATCACAATTGTTGACTGTCACCAAATTTTCTCATCAAAAATGTGATGCCAACGTGACTGTATGGCCAATATTTGCAAAGTGCCCTTTGCAACGCCATTATATTATATTATAAGGGTCAGCATTGTCTGCGAATATTACAGCTTTGATCATAAAACAAATGCAACAGAAATTAATATTAATTTATTAAACATAGAATTTTAAATTATTTATACTATTTTCAGTTAAAATTAAGCCCTAAAAACCCAAAATTAGTAACAACATATATTTACGATGTATTACATTTATAAGAGAAATCAGAAATAAAAATTACTTTAAAATATGTAAGGAAAATCATTGCGTAAATTTGAGATAAAAGCATTAGCATGATCTGAACTTGTACGATAAACTAACGAATTTTAAATGACTTATTTTCACCTTGCTCAGTAAGCAGTTGTTGTTCTAGTGTACGAGCTGATTTTCTCCCTCCTTAAAAACAGAAAGAGTACTTTCGATCCGCTTGAATGATATTGAGCATTTTACCTCCCGAGTGGAATCAATGGTCTGAAATTAATGATTCTAGCAACACCCAAACAGCCTGGGGGAACAAACCTTGTGGCGGTAATCTTTAACTGAGAAACAATTTACTCCAAGCAAATTCTTTGATCGTTTCAAAAAAGGAGAAAGGGCTTCACACATGATAACTGATAAAGCATAATTTTAATGCGAAAAAGGTTTTTTGTAAAAAAAAAATTTGTTTTACTGTGCGTGTTTATTTTTAAAACAAGTAATATTAAAAAATAAGTTTTTTAAGTCAATTCCAGATCAGATCAGATCAACAAAGAAAAATTTTCTTTTAGCTACTTTTTATTAAATCCTTACAATTAATATAAATTTGTATAGACATAGGATAGAATCACAACATTAAGTCGTAATTAATTTTTATTCATTATAATTAAAGTATTGTATTGTCATCCAAAAAAACGTCATTTTCCGTTAACTGAATGCTTTAAAACTAAAAAAAAACCTTTTTGTTTTTTGCCCCAAACCCCCAAAAAAATAATGCCAATGTGGCTGTATTTGTAATTCTTTATATAATTAGTTTTATCAATTAAAATTTTCATTAGTTATAATTAAATTACTGTATTGTGATCTAAAATAATCCTGTATATAAAATTTCAGCTCTATTGAGTCCTTTAAAATGTATTTTATTAACGATTGAAAATTCCACCAAGATAAATAAATAAATAAATAGAGAATTGAGCTAATAATAGGAATTAAAAAATAAAATGAAATTTTCGGATGACATATTATAAAGTAAAGGGTTATTTGGAAAAAGACTTACAACGACACACGCAATCTTTTTGGGCGTGAGTGAGTGAGTGAGTGAGTGAGTTTGGTGTTTTTTGGGCCCAAAAGGGAGTTTTTGGGTATACTGTGTCAAACATTCTAGGTCTGTGGTCTGGACGGGAAAAAAAAAGAAAAAGGGGAAAATTGGATGACAAGATGGAGGGCCGAAAATAGAGAAGGATCACTGGGGTACCCCGGGGTATCTTTTTGGGTGTGGCACAGTATAAAGTGAGGGAGTGTTCATTAACATTACACTATAATGCAACACGACGGTGAATGGCAACAGAAATCGTCGATTTCAGCCAAGGTGAAGTACCGAGGACTACACCTGAGCTGGCACTCTACTCCCCAGACTTCAACACCATCCAAACGGGGGGACTTTATCATCACTGATTTTATGTGTATTAGCCTCTCTACATGGAGCATGTTCAATGGCACACAGGACACTCCACCGACGAGCTCTTACCATGAGTTCCTAATGCGGCCACAATGCACAGTTTAAAATTAAAAATCAACCATTCTTTTAAACTGAAATTCATTCTCCTTTAAGCATTTTACATAATTTAATATTACAGATAACATTGGCGGTAATGAAATAACGTATGATTTTGTACTGTTAATAAATAAAAAATATTTTAAATCAATTCCTTCTTTGGTCAACAAAGAAAAATTTTATTTTATTTACCGTAAAATCCGGCGTATAGCGCGCACCTCTACTTTCAAGTTGATTTTTTTTTTTTTATTTTTAGGTATATTCACCGTATAACGGGTACCCTCTTTTTAACAAAGAAATCTGAAATATTAGTATACATTGCTCTTATGTTTTGAAGTCATTTTTTCTAAGTATTATCCCAGACTTTTGAGCAAATAGTTGTTGTTGTGACCAATGCCATCTGCCTGACGAAATCAGATCGAGGCCTGCTAAATTCATCGCGGATAAGGCTGTAATTTTTACGCCTGTCGTTAGCCTGAGCTTTGAGCACCATCAGGTGACAGTACGATTTTACTTGGTTCCACCCTAATTTAGAGGGAGAAAACCCTGGTGTGGCCAGGGGCCTCCCACTCTCTTCCCCTTCCACCAACCTCACGAGAGAACTTGCGGCTCGACGGCTAATTAGAGTACTCCCATGCCGCAAAAACTCCACACATTTACAAACATGCATGTATTCCCTAGGATTCGAACCCAGTCTCTACGGCACCGCAGTCAGCGTCGCTAACCACTATACAGGTTGGGCGACGAACAAATACTATACTTCGAGAATTACAACTCTTTTAGTTCATAATGGAAATCGTTTTCTTAAAATCAGCGGTATTTTTCGATACATACAAAAGTAAATTCTTTTTAAACTCATCTCTTTTGCTATTTTTAAAGCTATAGTTTTTATATCCGGCTTATAACGCGCACCCTTAAAATTCGATCTTATTTTTTGTGCGCGTTATACGCCGGATTTTATGCTACTTTTTATCAAATAATAACAATTAATGAAAATATGTATTTACATATGACAGAATAATACATTTAAGTAGCAAAATAGAAAGCGATTTTCCTCGCAATTTTCCATTTTCCTTTCTATATAGTGTTGGATTATTATTTTTGATTGATACTATTTGTTCATTAATTAAATTTAATTATTCCAATAAAACAGTATATTAAAAAAACACATTCTCAGAAACTAGGCCATCCCAGGTGGGATTCGAACCCACGATCTTTGGTTTAGAAGTCCAACGTGCTATCCATTGCGCTACAGGGACACAACGTACGATTTTCCTTTTTATATGTGGTGCTGGAGTATTATTCACTTTCTACTATCAGGTTACTCTCTCTATATGTATATGTCTCTCTATGTATATATTTATCTTGTTCAAATTTTCAACTGTTAATATAAAATACTTTCTATTCATCCAACCAAGCTCAAATAATTTTTTTTAAAATTTGTAGTGGATCACATTTGATGTTAATAAAGTTTTTTTCAAATATTAATTAACTAATTAAATTTAATTAGATTAATAATTGGTTTTTGACACCAAATTAGACTGTCTCCAATGTAATATTGTAATTGTTAAAACAAAGGCAAAAGTTGGTGTTGAAAACCTGTTTTTCAGCTAAATAGGGTGTGCATTGTTCAAAAATGCAGACAAATCATGCTCTTTTTTCAGTTCCTACTATTGGTTCACTCTCTTCCAAAAAAAAAAAAATATATATATATATATATATATATATTCCATTCAAATTTTCAGTCGTTAATAAAATACTTTCTATTCATCCATTCAAAGTAAGAATTCACTTAAAAATTTAATTTTATTTTAATTGTTTTTGTTTGTTACTATTTATTCATTAAATAAATAGAATTAATGAATTAATATTTGAAAAAAAAACTGTATTAACATCAAATGTCATCCCCCTAAAGTTTAAAAAAAAGTATTTTTTAAAAGAGTCAGAATACCTGCTGACCACGGTTTTCAACCCGAAAACAAGGATAGCACAACAAAATTTATTTTATAATAACATGTTGACCGTATAAATGATTAAATTTATAGACATCTTTAAGTGTGGTTCCCACCAGAATCGTAGCCAGAGTAGCCGCCATTGTTGGGTTCACCGTTTTACCACACGCCTCGGTATTGTTAAAGAGATCTGGATGTGTTTTTGGGGGTCCCAGCCCAAGCGGGCCCCACGTTCCCAAAAGTGTCTCGTGGGGGGCCTGGGGTAATCTGGGTCAACGTTGAGCCCCATGGACCACATGTTTCCCTATCGGCAAAAGATCCGAGGGGGCGGATGCCGGGGTGGTACGACTGGCTTCAACACCTCGGAGATGTAGCGCTGGCTTTTTTAAAAGTACCGGCAATGTTTTACTATGGAGTGCTAGAGTGATATCAATGCCGACCCATACCATAATTTCCCCGGTGCAGGACCAGTGTGGGGGTGCAAAAGAAACTGTTCAGCATCCTCTCCCCACGGTGTCCCCAGCTCAAATTCTACCATCGTTTGTTGCCGACAGATGGTTTTTCAGTAAAAAACTTCATTCCTTCTACCCCCCACGTCCTTCTTTTTTCGCACCTTTGGGGGCGGAACTTCTGTGGTTCTTCGTCAAGGGGGCCAAACAATGGACGTCTTGCGGAAACCACTCTCTGTGGCGACAATGGTACGCGCAGCACTGAATGATGCGTTACAAACTCAATGGTTTTTTATGGTTCGTGATGTGACTGAGCGATCCGTTACTCCATGGGACTTTGCCGTCCTCAATGAAGTGGTGCCGGGGTAATGCGATCGTCAGGTCGGTCCGTCGTCCCTCCTGCATCCCAAAGGTACATATCCACTTTCAGTTGTTGGTTTCGTCCCAAAACGACTACCGATTTCCCTGAAAAATAATCCCAATCTCGGTAGGCCATATCTTTTTCTGTCGAACTCAGATACTTGATCAAAAGCTGATCGCTGTTTTCTTCGAGACATAACTGATCGTTTTTTGAAAAAACCACAAGAAAAACACAATTGCCGAACTTAAAATCGTTGAAATCTGGAAGGCTTAAATAGCACTTTGAGTTGGCGCCACAGTTGAGCGTGATGTGTTTCTGCGCTGAAATTCTTATCATTTGCATATCTCACCACCGCTAATGTATGTTGTAAATTTCATGTTATTTGCCTGCTTCCTTCAAGGTGTTGCATTTACGGTGGCCAGCATTGTAAAATGAAACGATTGAAAATTTGAACAAGACATACATATATGGAGAGTGTGAACTATTAGTAGGAATTGAAAAAAAAAGCATAATAATGTTATTTCTAAACAACTTAAAAAGAAAATATTCTATATTTTGGTGTAAAAGGAATTGAATATTCAGAACTTGAACATTTATCATATAATGACTGAATTGTGCAATTTCTTTCTGTTGCCCATATCATTTAAGGCAGCAAGGTGTGTTTGTGTGTGTGGGGGTTATCACCACGATCATCTCAACATCATTACTCCAGCCTATTAAACAACAAACATAGAAAATTTCAATTATTATTTCAATGACTTCTGATGATTTTTTTCAGAAAAACTTTTCTCCGTTTTTCTATTAAAATAAAAGAGCGTTTCAATAGCGAAACATAACTGGCTTTATACTGAATATTGCAATACGACTCTTCAAAAGTAATTTTTTTTTATCTTTCTGAGAGAAATACTAATTTTCATCTCGGAAAATTAAAGTTTCTAGGAATTTTAATTTTTTTAAATGTCTATGTGATGTCTGGTTCTCTTATTTCTACTTACTCAGCTAATTTGAACGGAGAGTAAAGAGTTTCCTTCAATTAGTATTTATGCGTCACAGCACGTTCTCAAAATAACCCTAACTGTGGCTTCTTCTGAGTGTCTTATGTAAGCACATAAAAGGTGCTTGTGAGAACGCGCTTTGTATTTATAAAAAGAAGAAAAAGCAGACAGATTGAGTGAGCTGGGTTTTTTTTCCTTTCTTCCAAAATAAGAAATGAATAATGTAAAACTAAATAGATAATAAAAAAATCGAAAAAAAGTCTCCAAACATATTTCTTAGTACTTATTTGTCATTTTTTTAAAATTAAGCTCTTATTTAATTTTTTTTTTCTCAGCAAGTTTTCAGTTTTTCAGAAAATATAATAATGAATCATGTAATTATATTTTAAATTTTCAAATGCATGCATTTTTTACCAAATTTAATTAAATGTCAATGCGTAATATTTTTTTTTATTTTAAAAGTTTAGGTTATAGCAAAAGTTCTTCAATATTAATTAATATTACTAAATATCGCTTCCAAGTCTTAAGGTATCCGACTACGTTCAGAACTGTGATTTTAAAAAGGCGCATAAATGGATACTTTTCATGATATTTAGTGTTACTTAGATTAGAATACATGTATAAAATTATTTTAAGGACACACACATTTTGACAAAAAAAAACTATTTAAATACAATATTTCGGCAACAAATTAACTTAGAATAACCGTTTTTCAAAATGTTCTCCGTTTGTGAAAAATGCTCCTTTTATAACAGTATTTTGACTGTAGATAGCTCAGACCAGTGTACAGAGGCTCAAGTATGATTTTTGAAAAATTCACATTATTTTCAGAGTTACAATAGCCATTTGATATTATCAGTCATTTTTTCCTTAAATTTCTTTCACATGTTGTCGTAGGTATGGATAAACCCACTTCTAAGTTATATATTTCAAAATTCTAGTTGATCACTCTGCACAAAAATCTGAGCTACATACTGACAAAATATTATTATAATAGAAGCAATTTTTCACAAAGGTATTTTGAAATAGATCGTATGTTCAATTTTTGTCATAAATATATATAATTTTTTATTGTAATACTATTCTTAAAACAATTTTATATACATTTTCTAATCTAAGTGACACTAATATCATAAATATTATCCATTTATAACGCTTTTGCAAAATCACGGTTCCAAACGTAGTCGGATACCTTAAGGAAAAGTGAGTGTGTATATTAACGTCGCACTATATTTAGCTACACAAGGGGTTTTGTCAGCGGACCATTTTGAACCATCTTCAAGTGAGGAGGATGACCTCTGAATTTGTACCCCATCTCCTAACTTCCACATCACACCAGCGGGAGGACGGTTGAGCCTTGAAAGATTTACCGCGCATTGGTCCCCTCTAATTGGCGGGTATTCAGAGGCACGAGGCTCGAACTCATGACACGCCAGCCATGAGTATGTCATGTTGACCACTAGGCTACTGCGGCAACAAGTCTTAAGGAAAAATGTGTCTATTAATACACATATTACATTCAACTAGTTCTCATTTTAGAAAACATATTTCTTATAAAAAAAAAATTGTTACTTCTTTAAAAATGTAATATATTCGTAAGAAAGTATTCGGCAACACATTTCCATTTCTTTAAAAATAATTGCTACTACGGTAGAACCAAAATAACTAAAACATCCGAAAAACAAGTACCGCGTTTAATTTTTTTTTCGTATACAATTTTTAAGATTTTGTTCCATGTTTTGAGCAATGACGAAATATTCAATTCTCTTTATTCCATAATTTTAGATCGTTTATTATTAATCATATATAATGCTTTAAGCAGCTAATTAAGTTTCGATGAGCAAATCACAGAGTAATAGTTTTATCTCTTCCTACATAAGCATATGTATTTGGAGTAAATATTTGGTACATTTTGTATTCAATACTTTACTAGCATACGTGGCAGTGAATAATTTTTCAAGGTATTTATTATTTGTTTTCAATAATATCTGCTTTATTTTGTTCTACTTTCTTCATGCTTTTACAAAAAATTTTAGTTCAATTTTATTGCACCTATTTGCATCGGTAAATGTTCTCTGAAAGTACCCATGCAAATTATGTGTGTGAATGTTAAAATGTAGTTTAAATGTTTGTTTTGCCAAAATCATTAAAATGCGAAATAAATTAACCGAAATATGTTTACAAGGAAGTTAACATAAAAAAAAGACATAAGAAACATTTATGTATAAAATGCGTATACAAATACATACAAACGCCCTTTTTTATTTTCGATGTTTCAGATAAGTAAATCTCTGCATTATTTTCTCTTTGAAAGTTTAAACAAAGTTTCAGCTTGTTTTGAAAAATGCCAAAATCATTTTATTCAGTATACATGCATTCATACAGGAATATTTACTCATCCATTCTGTTATAAAATAGCAAATTTTACTTTCATTTTTTCACAAATGGATTCTATGTGAATAATAACGTAATGGTTAAGGTTTTAAAATTCTGAAAATTTAA